ACACACACAACGCAGCAGAGGAAATAAAATAAGTTGGTTTAGGACTTAGATTCCTATCAAAGTGAGGAGTGTGAAGGAGATTAAAAGGATCCCTAATTTGTCATGAAGATGAAAACCTAAAGTGATGAGAGCATGCATGCAATATTGATTTATATGACGAGTGAGAGCATGCATGCAATATTAAAACAGGTACCAGGAGTGGCGTCCCCCGACCCTAATAAGTAATTCAAAAACAGTAATCATGACCATCAAATCAATTCACTCATTATCATTTGCAAGTGCATAGTGCTACTTTGAAAATAACTGAGCTATAGGAACCACCAAATAGTGTACCAGGAGCCAGATGTTTTTTTTTTGTTTTGGTTGTTGTTGTTGTTGGTTTGTTTATAGAAATTAAATGGTGTATGGTTCATCTATATCATTAGTTCTAAGAATGGGTATATACCTAAATATATCATTCTCATTTATTAATTGATAAACCGAAACTTAGTGGTCTTTATTGTGTACCGAAACTAACTTTTTCATTTTATTTGGATATACAGGCTACGAATTGCTAAACTAAAGGTTCTTTATTTATTTTTAAACCCGTTGATTAACGAATTTTGTTTTAGACAATCTTCATATCTTTTGGATTATGTTAGGTACGACAGCTATTCTGACCAGGGGCGGAGCCAAGATTCAAATTTTTGGGGGGGCCAAAAAATTAACATGTACTAAACATCCAGAGCAAGAAGAAAAAAAATAAAGATTGCAGAAGAAAATTGTTGACACCATAACTGACCAAGCAACTAGAAGACTAGAAGGAACTCTAAGCAAAGCAAGAGGAGTCCCACATCGGAAAACAACAAGAAGTGAAGGCTCCCTCTCACCTATAAAAGCATACCACTCTCCACTTAAGAGAGGATCCGAAACTGAGCTGGGTTCCCTCTTCAGGACTCTCCTATTAGTCTGGCCTCCGAGTCCTGGGTCTCCAGACCCGGGGACTTGACACCTGGGCTCCAGACTCCTAACTTTGTACCTTAGGCCCTAGGCCTTCTTCCAGTTATCTTTGGGTCTAATCCCCTTGTACAAATGTAAACAATATCATAATGAGAACATCTTCTCTGTGGACGTAGCCCATTCATTAAGGGTGAACCACATATATCTTGTCTTTTGTATACTCATAAATTGGCCAAGTCCTCACATACATGCTGAAGGTCCAAACCTTCACCCATCATTCATCACACCTCATCACTAAGTTGGACTCAATCTTGGCCCAACCATTTTGAGCATCAACAAAAATTTCACATGTATTAAACTTATTTTGAAATACGTTAAGCTCTGTAGCCAAAAGAGAAAGATATAAAAATCAGCAAAGAAAAGCCAATATAACTTCACATTAGTACTCAAAAATGAATTTATTAGGGTGGTCATTAACTTCAAACATGCAAAATCCCTTTTAATATTTTATAATACATTGCCTTGATTGGTGAAAACTTAGAAAACATTGGAGGGGTCATCTGGCCTAAAGGTAGCTCCGCCCCTGATTCTGACAGAGATATCTCATATACGGATATTATGCCAAATGTCTTAGCCACCTATAGTCAGGATTTAGGAACATAATCTGGGAATGTCTTTCTTAACGAGGATGATTTCGACTCACTCATGAATACTAATTGTGTTCATACTAGGATTTAGAAACATAATCCTTAACGAGGAGGATTATGCCGGTTGTGTTCATATTACTCCCCTGCTAATAATGTTTCACCATCGAACATCATTTAAGAAAATTCTTTTAATATTTAAACTGACCAAAAAAAAAAACAGAAAAAAGAAATTTCAATTTTTATTCATATTAAACTAGGAATCCTCGATTTTGGTTTTTGATCTTCATATGAATTGCTTAATCCTTTCAATCTTCAGACTCCTCACTTTGGTAGCACACCTAAGTGTTATATATAGAGGGCTAAAGAGTTGCATATTCAAACAAGAAAAAATAAACTCAATTAGAGCGATTAATTCTATATTCAACAATGGATTCTGAAGCTTTTGGTGCTCAAACTGGCAGCAGCAGCAGCAGCAGGGTTTTAAGCCTACTGCTATTAATAACAGGGGCTCTGATACTGGCGGTTTATTGCGAGATTTCGGTGTCATGGATGGTGATTTTAGTGTCTCCAATTTTGTGCTTTCACATATCAATGTTGCGGACGAGTTTAACGTTGATATATCTTCTAGTTCGTAAGTATATGTCATGTTTTAATTTTATAGATCAAAATTTTAAGTCCTTTATGTTGGTTTAAATCGCTAATTGAGTATTGCTTTTCTAACATGGCGATTAATCTTGCAGGTTACGCGTGGCTCCTCACTGTTTTGGAGAGACTGATAGCCCCGGCGCCAACTAAATTGCGGTATGGCTGGTTGAATTTGAGGCCGTCGATCGACCCTCTAACAGCCCGGCTTTATGCGAGGGCTACAGAGCTTTTGGAAATGAAAAGCAGATTTGAGGATCTAGGGAACCAACTCAAGTCTACGAACCACCCTGCTTCGGCTTTTCTACTCGAATCTCATGACAAGGACCTCAAATGTCTTGACAAGGCCCTTTACAAGGAGTTGGAGTTGTGTGGGATTCTGACTTCGGAGAACATAAGAGACAGAAAAGATAAATGACTGAAAAAGCTCATCACATGGTGGCAATGCATGCATGTTATGTTTGTTCAGGACTAGGTTTTAATTGTTTGCTTAGTTGTTTGTTTGTTAATTACATGGTAGTTGTTTTTTTTTTTCTATTCAGTAGTTATTGTATTTGTTAATTTTTGTTTTACTTTTTTTATGAGAAAGGACTTGTTAATTTGTTTTTCTTTTTTGGTTGGTAATTCTCAACTTGTTTTTTACATTGGTTAACTTTCAATGACTCATGTATGTATAATAAAGCAAAACCGAATCGAATCTCTACTGGTTTCTGGCTTTGCTTAACTTTTAATGACTCGTGTATGTAACAAATCTACGGGTTACCAAACTATCTATCCCAAAGAAAAAGAGAGAGAATATATATATATTTTTAATGTTAGCTTCCAACGAGTATCAAAATCTTGGTAACTAGTTAGTTAATACTTACACAAAGTCTTGTTCCAAAAACATCTGCCATTAACGAAGCATCACTAAAAGGTGAACCTGCCAACCTCTTCATCTTCATCTTCGTCTATAGCATCCTCATCTTCAGTAAACATCTCATCTTCCTCTTCTTCTTCAACTTCTTCTTCCTCGTCCTCATCCATCATGGCTTTGCCCCTCTCATCTTTGTCCTTCAAACCAGTGCTCAATATCACAGTCTCTCCCCCGGATTTCTCCATATCTTTCCTCAACTTCTCCATGTTCTCCTTTCTGTGTTCCTCCTCTAAACGTTCCTTCTCTGCACGTCTCTTTTCCAGATCAGCCCTACACAAGTAACAAGAAGCGGCAAAATTATGAAAACCAGATCAATTATAAACATAAATCATGATATACCATAAACATCCCCATTCAGTGGCACTGTAGTACAAAGTGAAGAAAGGTAGGTTCATTAAGTTCAGGCAATACTTATAGTTGCCCATGTACTCCTCAACACTTGCTTCAATGGCCTTAAAGAAATCCTTCATTCCAGCACCAGAAACCGCAGACACTCCAACAGACCGCAAGTTCTTATAGAATTCATCCAACACAAGAGAGAGGCTCTGAGCTAAAGTTGAACTGTATGAACTATCTGTACTCACTGCTGCTTGAAATGCCTCAAAATCCTCCATCCACTGAACGAACAGAAGGTTTTAAGACAATGAATATAAAAAACCAAAGAATGCATATTACATATTTCACTTCACACTGATAATGGAGAAAATTTTGGAACCTAAGAGGGTGAAGGAGAAAGTTGAAACATTCATCACAATCAAAATGGTTACGAAGAAGAAATCAAATATTCCAAAATAAGTTGATTCACAAATACATTCAACTACAATACTTCAATATACATATTTCATCAAACTACTACAGTCTGGACATATACGAATTAGAAAAGGTATTCCAACTCTAGAATAAAAATGTCACATGAAATCAGGCTAATTTGCAAAGTAGAGTTCTTGGCAATGGAATCAGTTATATAATTCTTCACATTGATTTTTGTTCTGCTCACTGTTACTACTAGAGTTTGGCATGACAAACTGCTCCTTATAAACATTGTTTCCCCATTCTCTACAGCGGTTTTGTAATTTAAACTTGGGATGCGCTCATGCATCCTATGAAGCATCAACACCTTATGCAACACAGTTGAAGATTTATTAAGTCCACAGCCAAATGAATACCTATAAACCATCCAAGTTTGAGACTGATTCTACCACTGGTCCCTTTCAGTATATTTCTGGAACCATCTATAGCTAGCTTGGTGGGTAACTCCAGGTTGGTCAGCTTAACCTTACAAAACTTGGCTTTACCCTAAAAGCTTCCAGACCCACCATATTCAAGCATATTCCAGAATGTGTGTGCGTGTCTCTTAAATGCTTATACATGTTTATATACTTTGCTCTACATGCATTCACACACATATATAAAGCATACCTCCAAAGCAAACTGATGTTGGGCCACGTCAGTCTTGTTGAATGCCAACACAAGAGGCAACCTTGTCTTGTAAAGGATACTGCAAGCGTAAAGCATATTGCTCATAAAAGTGACTGGGCTAGCTGAACGAGGTGTATCTACCACGTAAGCGATCACAGTAGGAAATGTTGAAGCAAATGCTTCTGTGATGATAGCACCAGAAGCGGACCAAGTGAATATCTCAATCTGACCAGGAGTATCCACAAGAACATAATCAAGTTGATCTGCGCGCTTCTCAATGACTGAGACAACCTGAAATTGGAGAATTTTGTGATAATTTCATTTTGAATAAATGAGGGAAAATAAAAAGAAGGCACAAAGCATGAGCTAAAAGAACACATTAAGAGCGCAACAAATGGATAGAACCAATACGAAGCCAACACTACTGTACATGTGCAAACCAATCAAAAGGATAGAACCATTACTAAGCCCAATAATGCAATGCATGTTGAAAACAAATTGAATGAAGTTGCCACAAACAAAAGCTACATGCAATTTATACAAAACTCTTCTGAATGATTATAACATTTACTTACGATGGTAAAAAATGGCATCATGTCTCATCCACAGGGCATTCCAAACATTATACAGTATGAAATGATTTAAGGCAAAGATTCACAGCAAATTTTTTACCTCATCAAACTTGGTAGCAAACAAGTTGAGTGAGGTCAAAATTCCCCCGTTTGGTCCAAGATTGAACTGTTTCATCACCTCCTTGTAGCGAACAGTATCCCTTATGTCAATGTTTGCACCGAATGGGAGAGTCATCACAGCTGGGTCGAGATTCATCACATAGCCACGTATGTTGGACTCACGTGTGTGGGAAACCAACCGATGAAGAAAGGTTGTTTTACCACTCCCTAAGAAAATCCACAAAACAGTTCGATTTCAAGCAGTCAACAATAGCATAATTCTTCACAAAACTGGAAAAGAAATGTATCATTAATACAACCCTATTGCTATAATGAACAGAACAAAATCAGATTAAACTTGATAAAATTACCTGCCATGCCCACAACAATTATAATAACTGGTTTTTTCTTGAAGCTGGACCCTGCCTGCCCCGAAGATGACTCCTCAACTTGCAGTTTCTTCATTGAGTTAGTAAGTTCCTCATTTTCTTTACCCTTGTCATTCTTCAGAACAAAATCAAACACTCCAGCTTAATGAAAAACAATACAGGAAACAAAAGGAAAAACAAAAACAGAAAATAAAAGTACGACTAATTTGATATTGTGCTAAAAATATTCAATACCCAATAAAAGGAAAATAAAATAAAACCCAATAAGTGGTTCAGTTTTAGGTTTTGTATTTAACATATTGAGAGCTTGAAAAGCAAAACCCTGGTGCATGGTGAGAATGAGTACCTGAACGGTAGAAGAGCCTTCAGAGTCCATGGGTATCGTTGTATCGCCTTCTTCTTGTGGTTTGATATTCATTTTATGGAAATCAGAATCAATGTCCATTTGAGTGAAGGAGAGTTGCTGGGTCGGCGCGTCGTGGTCGGCGTTCAGAGTAGGGCTGCACCGCTTATGCGGGGTTTATGGAAGGGAGGACTGGGAGTGTGGGCTGCGCGAAAGGGAAATGAGAGGACTGTGAGTGGACTTTGATATATATGAGTTGAATATGACACTAATTCGTGAGAAGAAAATGAATATCAGAGATTGAAATTCGAGGTTTTGAAGCAGGATAATTCGGCTTATTTGGGATATTAGGGTTTAACGGACTGAGAATGATCATCAAACGACGAACGTCGACAACACTATACTCTTTGAATTTGGGCCTTTTATTTGGGTTTGTTGTATTTTGTGTGGCCTCAACTCTCTGCTCCTGTTTGGGTTTCAATTTTGGGCCTTTAACCATATTTGTGCTTCTTCTTTTTCTTTTTTTTGCCAAGATTTGTGCTTCTTTAATGAATATTTTCATGACCATGCATTCATAATTCGACATAAAAAATTATTCTAATTGATAGTCAGGACGATGAAACTATAATTAACACCGTTTGAAGAGAAAAAGGGAACAAGCACTTAAATAGGCAACCAAAATGTTTCATTTTTAAGTGATGGAAGATTTATCAACTATTGTTTAACCGTTATGAAGTTTCAAATTCCTTTTGATATATGTATCAACAATTGTTCGATTTCTTTTGGTCGAAAATAATCGAACTACATCGCTAACTAAAACTGAACCAATCTGAATCGCGCCCATCGGTGTGCAATTTAATGCCTACATCCCTAAATCGCGCCCATCTCTATTTTCGCCTCTTTTTTTCACCTATTTTTGCAAAACCACCACCATATCTATGGATCAATCTTTTCATTTCATACTTTTTCATAAGGAATAAAAAAAAAATAACTTGGCAATCATCTTCCAAATTTGTCTCTTATTGTTTATTTCCGTTTTTCTTTAAAAATCCGTGTTATTTCTGTTTGTACCATATCTGACCCTCCACTCGTACAACGACACGTGGATCTCATAAACTCGCCCAAGCACCCAAGGCCTCGGACAATCGGCATAGGCTACTGATGATATTGTCTCAAAGCAGCAAAAGATCATTACAGGGCCCAACACAGCCTACAATCGGTATCCCCTACCGATTCTGCAGAATCAACCTCGAAGCACCCGCCTGAAATATCTAAGGACTCGTGTCAACCTCATAGGGCCCTCCCACGAGTCCCACATCGAAAATGAGCGCTAAGAGCATACTAAATGCCCTCTATAAGTATGCCCCTCCCACTACAATACAGGGGTAAGACTTTTCAGCTTGACTTTTATACTTCTATATGGTCAACAGCAAGAGCTCTTAAAAACAATCTTACTTGAGCATCGGAGAGTCTTAGGCTGGTTCCACACCGGTTCCATAGACCTCACGAGCTTCGCTTATCTTCTATTCAGGATCAGCATCCAAGGACAGGAAGAATCGGCATCCAACACCCAATCGATCTCTTGATCGTCCATCCCACTTGTAAGTTGCACTCATCTCTATCTATTCAAGATTTAGCGCCAACAATTATTATTTTATAAAAAAATAACTTGGCAATCATCTTCCAAATTTGTCTCTTATTGTTTATTTCCGTTTTTCTTTAAAAATCCGTGTTATTATTATTATTATTTTTTTTATAAATATAGAAAATAAGTAAATTTCATTAACTAAAAGCATTGGTTACAATCAGTGTCTAAAAAATCGACATTATCGCCGAAATATCGGCGATAATTTCATTTTTTTTGGAAGCCGATAATCTGGGAACAAACCAAGCATTTTTCGTCCAAATATCGAAATTGTCGCCGAAAATAGCACCGACATATCGATCCCGATATTATCGAGCAACGTCAACACAAAACGGTTATAATATCTCGATAATATCGATATTCTCGCGATGGTTGAGAGAGCTCTCGGAGCACAGAGTCAGAGTTGGCGTCGTTGGGGCTTTGGAGGAGAAAGCGAATCTGGCTCGCGGTGGTCGGCGAAAGAGAGAGGCGCGGTGGCTGATCGACTGAGAGTGAGAGGATCGAAGTAGAGAAAACAGAAGATAGATGGTTGTGGTGCTATGCGAGGATCGAAGTAGAGAAAACAAAAATAATTTGTGCGGGATCTGCTGCAAGCAGTCTCACACTTCCTCTTTTTTTGGCCAATCACACAACTCCACGTGTAACTTGAGAAAAATGCGGTGTGAATTGAATTAAATTATCATAGTTAAGGAGTAATTGAATAAACACCCATTAACCAACATGAGTTGGTCCAAGTGGAAGGGGCTTGGATCCTTTAAACAAGAGGTCCTGGGTTCGATCCCAGGCGCTTGCGAATAGAGCAGACTTTGTTGGGAGAGGTCCCCGCTTTGCGCCCGACAGTACCTCGAGGGTTAGTCCCCGCAATCACGCGGGGGATACCTTGGTTTTCACCAAAAAAAAATAAAAAAAAATAAAAAATAAATGCCCATTAATTGAATAAACGCCCTTTAAACAAGAGGTCCTGGGTTCGATCCCAGGCTCTTGCGAATAGAGCAGACTTTGTTGGGAGAGGTCCCCGCTTTGCGCCCGACAGTACCTCGAGGGTTAGTCCCCGCAATCGCGCGGGGGATACCTTGGTTTTCACCCAAAAAAATAAATAAAAATAAAAAATAAACGCCCATTAATTGAATAAACGCCCTTTTTGCTCGTGCTTGTGCCACATGGCTCGGACTCTGACAAAACTAGAAGCAATTATATATACGTGTAACGTGTCCTCCTTTTTTGGCAATTCTTTCATGTGAAATATATAGCCTCCCATTAAGCAGGTAAGGAGTAAAATCAAAAGACAATTTCATGATGATTCGAGTTTCCACCCATTTGCTTTTATTTTTTATTTTTTAAATAAAGTAAAGTAAAAACAATATTGTTGTATTCTAATTTATTTTTCAAATGTGTTATCACAAAATTGATGTAGGTGTAAGATTTGAATATCCTTTTCTTAAAATTGGTTTATAATATTGTTACTCAAAGTATTTAACAGACGTTTTCTTTTCTTTTAATATTGAGTTGTATTATTATTCACTATTGAGTTTTAACTTTAATAGGAATTTTTTCTATGTGGTACTAAGTCACTTATGTATCTTACAATGCAATGTATAAAGTGTAAAATATTGTAGTAATTCATTATATATAAATGATTATGGTGTCTTTAATCTTCTTTAATTAATTACTACATATTTTCTACACTTACAGTGTTTGCTAGCTCGCTATATAATCAACTTAAATCAGTTAAATTCATTATGCAGTGCATTTCCTTCCAATTTTTTGTGATAAAGTAATAGATAATTGACTAAATAAACATCCTGCAAAGTTTCAATAAAAATTTCCAAGTTTTTCTTACAATTTCCGTGGTTTTTATTCAATTTTTACCGATACGGATAATATCCCGATATTTCCATCGATATTTCCGTGTTTTTGGACTTCCGATATTTCCGATACCACCGATATTTTAGACCTTGGTTACAATAAGGTCATCAATAATACAATTCATTAGCCACACATGGCATTCTTCTAACAATAATAAGGACCTTGTTTGTGTGAAGCAAAACGGGCAATAACATGAGCTACTTTGTTACACTCCCTAGGTCAAAATTGGACTTTCTTTAAAGAAAACTACATGAGCAAGTCTCTCACATCATCCACAATGTTGCCGACAGTAGCCTAAATAGTATCCCCTGAATTAATCATCATAACAACCTCAGAAGAGTCAATTTCTATGAGGAGAGGGAAAAACTAGCACTTGTAACAAATAAAACTCCTCTATAAATCACTTGCAATTTTGTAGCTAGAATGGAAGCCCCACGAGGGTTTTGCATGGCTAGGGCACCCATAAAAACTCCAAAATCATTTCGAACAACTGCACCTATACTACGCAACCTTGTTGCGCTGTCAGTAGCTCCATCAACATTGAGCTTGTAGAAACCTTCAAGGAGACAGCTCCAAATCTCATTCTGATTAACCCTACAAGCACGTGGTTGTTCTTGAGATTTATGAGATTCTTCATAAAGCTCAAAAATCCTCTCAAGAAGATGGGTAGGATTATGCACACCTTGACCATGAAGATTATCATTTCTAGCTTTCCACAGCATCCACCAAATGTAAGCAAATTGCTCTAACTCAATAAAAGGCAAAACTATTTTAGCTTTCTCAAAGAAATCAATGAAGCTCAACATATGCCACTGCTCAACAACAACAAATCCCAACATAGAAAGCCTCCATACTTTCTTGCTTAGTTTGCACTCCCATAAAGCATGGATAAGAGATTCATTGGACTTGCCACAACAAAAACAAATACCTTTTGGGATTACTTTCTTGCTCACCAAATTGACACAAGTGGGAAGGATATCATGAGAGGCACCCCACAACAAATGCTTAATTTTATTTGGAATATGGAGGCTCCAAATCAATTCCCAATACAATGCCATTTGAGCACCATTGGCTTTCTCTTGAATTTTCATTTATGAAAAACATATCAATGTTCATGGCTTAAGATACTTGGAAGAAGTTTTGTTTTTGAATTTAAACAACCACCTTAGACTTCCGCTGCGATTAATTTGATTAAATGCATGTTTAATATTCAAATGAACTTTGAAAAAATGTTTTGAAAATCCTACAGAACTACCAACACCACTATTAAGATCACTAGTTTTCTTATACACAGCAACTTGATAACCGAATTGAACAAAATATTTTATATTTTTAATAAAGAACTAAATCTACTGATCTGTACGTGGATTGCAACTCAAAAGGATGCTTTAAATAAATTCACAAACCTTAGAACCCTCTGGCAGAGAAGGAGGTGAATATAGTTTAAAAGTAGATGGTTTAGGTATCCATTTATCCTTGTAAACATCAATCATCTTACCATCACCCACACGCCAATAAAAGTTTGCATCTAAAAAATTTCTTCCCCACAAAATAGAACTCCAAACAAAAGAAGGAGTTGAACCAATAGTAGCACGCATGAATCTGAGTTAGGGAAGTAACTCACCTTAAGCATACGAAAAACAATGGAATCCTGGGTTTGCAGCAGCCGCCAAACCTGTTTACTTACAGCTTGATTGAAGCATTCAAAATTATTGAAACCAAGGCCACCATCCACCTTGTGCCTACAGATGCTTTCCCTTTTTTTTTTTCCAATGGATCCCTCTTTTATTTCCTTTACTCCACCAACATTTTGCAACCAAAGAATTAAGATCTTTCCGGACACCCACAGGAAAACGAAAATCTGTGTTAGCTTTCAAAATACGGAGGACTGCTTTAGGGCTATTTTTCATCGTCTATACAAATGCCAAAACACTTGATTGGAACAAGAATTAGTGGCACGAAATTTTGTTAGCCTTCTTCTCGACGTTGTTAATGACCTTTATTAGTTTCATTTTTTTTTTTACAATATCTATTTAGACCCTCTGCCTTCAATATATTCTGGAAATGTAAAATTGGATGGTAAATAAACAAAATTATAATAATACGATTTATTAATTTTATCAAGGTAACATGATTCAAAACACCATAACAATCTGAACAAATACTTCAAAGCAATGTCCTGGCAATTGCTGCAGCCACAACCGCAATATCATGCACAGCCTTGTTCTTATCCGTCAGAGGAGACTTGCCAGAGAAACCATCTTCACACGTCTCGACCTCACCGGCAGCGTCGTTCATGCCTTGCTCTGCAAACTTGGGGTTGCCTAAGCTAAAACCCTGGTGCGCTTCAGGCACCAAAGCTTCTACAACCGTGTTGTAAAACCGAGCGCAAGATTTCAAGGCCTGGTCTCCAGGGCTCTGCTTAAGCATAGCATTGATTTTGTTCAGAGTATCGGTCGACTTGGCCTTCAATATATCCACCAGTATGACGCCTAAGCCCGATACGTCTGCGGTGGAGCTCCGAGGGTCCGATTTAAGAGAAGAGACGCAGAGAGCATAGTTTGGTGTCTGTTTGCAGGTTTGGTCGATGAGATTGGCGTCTGTTGGGAAGACAACTCTGCTGCAGAGGGCTACTGGAAGAAGAAAGACAAGTAGGGTACAACAAACAAGTTGAAGGAGAGATGTTGAGTTCTTCATGTTGGTAAAACAAGAAGGGTTTGAGAAATGAGAGGTTTAGGTTGCAAGCTCCATTTTTATAGAGATTTTGGATATGATTATCTCTAAACTCCTGGTGTGAAAACAATTAATGGTAAATGGATATGTATTGCTAAGTTAAGTTTCTTTGTACGCTCTAATTACCAAAACAAATAAAAGTTATCAACGTATGTGTGTGTACCTACCACCATACATGAACCTTTATTGTATATATTAGAGAGGGTCCAATCCAATCTCATCCAAGAATAACAATTTAATTTCCCATCTTTTTATAGCAAAAGCAACTGAATGTCAAAAGGCCAGCCAGATTTTCTTAGAGGAGAATTAAAACCCCATTGGTAAGTCAAATCTTTTAAATAATTAGGTAAGTATTTAATTCATCGACGCTTAAAATTCAAAACTAATCGGTAATAAGTAGAAATGCCCAAAATATTCCAAGCACGTATCCTAGGCTCCTATTTAGTAAACATAGTCTTTTTGAGGAGATAATATACATTTTATAACTTCTCAAATCAGTACACATATCTATACCAAATTGGTTGATGCAAACATAAAAATCATACAAATATGCAAACTAAAAAGATTTTGGATTTAGTGGCAATCTCCGAAGATGATGGTTGTATATATCTGATGTTGGTGTGATTGGTGCAGTGGGAGTTGTCAGGGATTACTTGGGGACGTGCATGGTGAGAGATTTTTTTTTTTTTTTTGGCTTTTGACTTCTTTTAGTTTTTTTGAATGCAAGAAAAAGAGAGGTAAAATATTACTGAGGGTAAAATTGGAAATTTCACAAGTATAGGCGAAGGGGAGCCCACCGTTAGAGGCCCAATCACACACCGTTGGCCCGTTCGTTTGGATCCCATTAGGGGTCAAGTCGGATCTATTGCGAACGTTCGTCCCGACCCGGCCAGACTCGGACCTCCCTCCCAATCATTTATTATGTTTTTTCTGACTCGAACGCCTCGACGCAGCAACAGCAATTGCTTTCTCTGCTTCTCAGTTTTACTCGTGCTCACAACTCACGACGAAGACTTCACTTGTCTTCAACCTCCAACTCCAAAATTCTAAGCCCAGGTTTGCCTCTAGGGTTAGGGTTAGGGTATTCAAACTTCGCAAAGCTGGATAGGTACAGAGTAGACCGCTATGGCGACAACAACGACGACGACGACGACCACGAGGACTCCAACCCCTTCCGTCATCCTTCTCGCTTCTCCGATGCACCCATGAACTATCAAACTCACCACCCTCGCCGTAGCCCTCCCAGCTATCGCGGTGGTCGTGGTGGTCCTCCTCCCCACCGTGCCTTCGACAGCCCGCCACGTCACTCTCCC